CCGGTCAGGTAGGACGCAATCCAGGAGTGAGCCGCGCCGGAGATGCCCAGCTCGGAGAGGGTGGAGAGGAGGATCTGATGGTTCACAGTATCAAAGGCAGCAGACAGGTCTAGAAGGACAAGAGCAGAGGAGAGAGAGTTAGCTTTAGCAGTGCGGAGAGCCTCCGTGACACAGAGAAGAGCAGTCTCAGTTGAATGACCAGTCCTGAAACCTGACTGGTTTGGATCAAGAAGGTCATTCTGAGAGAGATAGCAAGAGAGTTGGCTAAAGACGGCACGCTCAATAGTTTTGGAAAGAAAAGAAAGAAGGGATACTGGTCTGTAGTTGTTGACATCAGTGGGATCGAGTGTTGGTTTTTTGAGAAGGGGAGCAACTCTCGCTCTCTTGAAGACGGAAGGGACATGGCCAGCGGTCAAGGATGAGTTGATCAGCGAGGTGAGGTAGGGGAGAAGGTCACCGGAGATGGTCTGGAGAAGAGAGGAGGGGATGGGGTCAAGCGGGCAGGTTGTTGGGCGGCCTGCAGTCACAAGTCGCAGGATTTTATCTGGAGAGAGAGGGGAGAAAGAAGTCAAAGCATAGGGTAGGGCAGTGTGAGTAGGACCAGCAGTGTCATTAGACTTAACAAACGAGGATCGGATGTCGTCAACCTTCTTTTCAAAGTGGTTGACGAAGTCATCCACAGAGAGAGAGGGGGGGGGGGGGGGGGGGGGGGGGATTCAGGAGGGAGGAAAATGTGGCAAAGAGCTTCCTAGGGTTAGAGGCAGATGCTTGGAATTTAGAGTGGTAGAAAGTGGCCTTAGCAGCAGAAACAGATGAAGAAAATGTGGAGGGAGGGAGTGAAAAGATGCCAGGTCGGCAGGGAGTTTAGTTTTCTTCCATTTCCGCTCCGCTGCCCGGAGCTCTGTTCTGTGAGCTCGCAATGAGTCATCAAGCCACGGAGCTGGAGGGGAGGACCGAGCCGGCCGGGAGGATAGGGGACACAGAGAGTCAAAGGATGCAGAAAGGGAGGAGAGGAGGGTTGAGGAGGCAGAATCAGGAGATTGGAGGGAGAAGGATTGAGCAGAGGGAAGAGATGATAGGATGGAAGAGGAGAGAGTAGTGGGAGAGAGAGAGCGAAGGTTGCGGCGGCGCATTACCATCTGTGTAGGGGCAGAGTGAGTAGTGTTGGAGGAGAGCGAGAGAGAAAAGGAAACAAAGTAGTGGTCGGAGACATGGAGGGGAGTTGCAGTGAGATTAGTAGAAGAGCAGCATCTAGTAAAGATGAGGTCAAGCGTATTGCCTGCCTTGTGAGTAGGGGGGGACGGTGAGAGGGTGAGGTCAAAAGAGGAGAGGAGTGGAAAGAAGGAGGCAGAGAGAAATGAGTCAAATGTGGACATAGGGAGGTTGAAATTCCCCCAAAACTGTGAGGGGTGAGCCATCCTCAGGAAAGGAACTTATCAAGGCGTCAAGCTCATTGATGAACTCTCCAAGGGAACCTGGAGGGCGATAGATGACAAGGATATTAAGCTTAAATGGGCTAGTGACTGTGACAGCATGGAATTCAAATGAGGAGATAGACAGGTGGGTTAGGGGAAAAATTGAGAATGTCCACTTGGGAGAGATGAGGATTCCTGTGCCACCACCCCTCTGACCAGATGCTCTCGGGGTATGCGAGAACACATGGTCAGACGAGGAGAGAGCAGTAGGAGTAGCAGTGTTTTCAGTGGTAATCCATGTTTCCGTCAGCGCCAGGAAGTCGAGGGACTGGAGGTTAGCATAGGCTGGGATGAAGTCAGCTTTGTTGGCAGCAGAACGGCAGTTCCAGAGGCTGCCTGAGACCTGGAACTCCAGGTGTGGGGTGCGTGCAGGGACCACCAGGTTAGAGAGGCAGCAGCCACGCGGTGTGAGGCGTTTGTGTAGCCTGTGCCTTTTTGGGCTCTTGACCGCCTTCTTGGCCGCTGCGGCGGGCTTCTTCACCTTCTTGGGGCTCTTGGCGGCCTTTTTGGGTGTAGCGGGCTTCTTGGCCTTCTTGGGGGACTTCTTTGCGGCGACGGCCTTCTTGGCTGCTACCTTCTTGGGCTTCTGAATCTGGCAGGTCACATTGAGATTGACTTTATAATTTAGACGCAGTGAGATGACGTTGCCATGTGCAGCACCATAGATATTGGGCGCGCTTGAGCGATAAGGCTGAAGCAATCGACTGTAGACGAAATTCAAGGAGTGAAGTCGGGGGAGGTGCATCTGCGACAGCCTAAAGTCTGACACTAATGTGGTTTACTAACAGCAAGGCTCAGATCAACATGCCAGTGTTTTATATTGCTGAAATAAACATGTATCTTACCCCCATATCACAAACTTACAAACTGAAATCATAATATAATATTATGTGTACACATTGTACAATCAGTTAGTGAGAGAGATCAGTTAGTGTAAAGTTCATGCAGTCGACATGTACTGTAGGTGCAAGACAGACAATGGGCCATTAGCTGTGCAGGCAAATGCTATCTTACAGTCAGAAAATACAGTATCATCTTATTTTAGTATTTACAGTCTATGGGCTTCTGGATCAATCAAGACATTTTCTGACTGATTACATTTGGTGTCCTGAGGTTTCTTATTTACATAATATTTTAGTCATTTAGCATACACTCTCATCCAAAGCAAGTTACAGGAGCAATTAGGGTTAAATGCCTTGCTCAAGGGCACAGACTTTTCACAGTCAGCTTGGGGAATCTAAACATCAACCTTTTGGTTACTGGCCCAACGCTCTTAACCACTAGGCTACCTGCTGCCCTAGGTTCATTAAGACCAATTTTAACATAATAAATGCATTCATTTTGCAATTTATTATCTATTATGGAATATTTACACAATTGAAATATGAACAGTTAGAATGACCGTCATAGCCATTCTAGTAGTTATGGAATTCCGGTGCTCCGAGTGTTAAATACTTACTACATAACGTCTGCTTATTAGCCTCTATTATTGACAGTTCTTCAGTAATTAATAATTGTTTCTACATAACAACCATGAAAATTCATCACACTTTAAGTATTTAGAAGCTACAAACTAACTATTAACGTGTTTAACCGTATTCGTATCTGGTTGTTGCCGTCTTACTTCCCTGTTGTTTCCTGTTACTTTCTGGACGTTACCCTGTTATTTCAGCACTTTTATCCACAATTCAAAGTATGTGGGCGTGCGCCATGAAATGATATTGACTGAGCTTAAGCATAATAAAATGATCAGGCTCATACAAGAATGAGAAAATGATAAAGATATTTCTAAGACAGAAAGAGCCTTCTGAGAAATGCGTAAGCTGAGAGAGATAAGGATGTGCAAGGTTTACACTCCGGCTCTACACTGAGTATACTTAAGCAATAAGGCCAGAGGAGGTGTGGTATATGGCCAATATCACGGCTAAGGGCTGTTCTGATGCGCGATGCAACGCCGAGTGCCTGTACACAGCCCTTAGCCGTGGTATATTGGACATATATCACAAACCCCCGAGGTGCCTTATTGCTATTATAAACTGGTTACCAACGTAATTAGAGCAGTAAAAATAAATGTTTTGTCATACATGTGGTATATGGTCTGATATACCACAGCTGTCAGCGAATCAGCATTCAGGGCTCGAACAACCCAGTTTATAACAAACAGTTGCAGTTCTTAACACAAACCGGTGCGCCTGGCACCTACTGCCATACTCCGTTCAAAGGCACTTAAATCTTTGTCTTGCCCATTCACCATCTGACTGTCATTCTTTAAACTGTCTCTTCTCCTTCATCTACACTGATTGAAGTGGATTTAACAAGTGACATCAATAAGGGATCATAGCTTTGATCTGGATTCACCTGGTCAGTCTATGTCATGGAAAGATAAGGTGTTCCTAATGTTTTGTACACTCTGTGTACATCTTCTTCAAATGTTGATATTTGGTTGTTTGACAACCAAACACAATTCAATATTACTTTTGCAATAGAGTAAATAGCCTATTAACTTGTCGAAAAGTTAACAAATGATATGTTGGAATCACGTCTCCAATTAAACCAAAAATGTAAGTGAAAGAATAGTGGTTCAGATGAAACTATCCAAGCATTAGATACAGCTCCTTTAAATGTTGATATTTGGTTGTGTTGTCAACCAAACACAATTCACTATTACTTTTGTACATAATACAGTAAATAGCTTAAAGTTAAAGCGGCAATCAGCAGTTGCTACATACATTTTTGGACTTATAAAATCATGATATGTACTCATTGATTCTTGAAGAATATAATTTGTAGCTTAGTTCAACTGTCGTACCCAATCAGAACCTAAAATATAAGCTTGCTTTACTCCAATGTTTGTAAACAAAGTAAATGTAAACAAACACTATACTGTATAGCCTCAAAACATGCTTAAAACCATAATGTTAGCATCCATAGCTCTGTCTATGAATTTGAGACTGGTTACATTTCTCCAGTCCCATCCCTCAGTTTTTTACCGAAACAGGGGCAGGGGCATGCAGTGAATGGAATGGTATCAAACAAATGGAAACCATGTGTTTGAGACCATTCCATTCGTTCTGTTCCAGCCATTACTATGAGCCCGTCCTCCCCATTTAAAGTGCAACCAGCTACCACTGCTTTTAATGTAATATCAATCGCAATCCAGGTGATTAGGTTGTGCTATTATATGAAGCACAGTGATAACACATTAAGTTGTTGTATAAATACAAAATATCTGACATTGTTTTTCAATTGGAATTTGGTTGTGCTTTTAGATGGTTGTCTTTTTGAGTGGGTGAATAAAGGTTGAAATCTCATTGACCAACGTCTCAACCAAATATTACCAAAATGTCCACCTTGAAAAGTCGTAGTGTGCCCAGTGGGCTGAATCTGTTAGAATGGTTACAGATATTCTGACTTTGCCACACAAGAATTGTGCAGCAATGAATAATGCAGTACTGACACTCATTTAGTCAAACAGTGAACCTCTTTACTTGGCAGTAGAGGTATCAATAATTGCAATTTTATTACATGAAACATAATCTAAATTTACTAATTTCACAGGACTGCTATCTGTTGGATCAAGGTGGTATAAGGATCTTTATCTGGAAAGGAAAGAAGGCTTCCAAGACAGAGCGGTCTGAGTCTTTGGATAAAGCAGAAGTGAGCCACACCTCTTGACACATTTTAGATTCACAATGCTTTTGATATCCCTTTGCTGTCCCCTAGATGCTGTTTAGTTTAATACAGAGTCCAAAAAATATCCCCCCTCCCCCCTTTTTGTACAACCCAGATACCAGATACCTAAACAAGTTAACCCTGAAAATCATCTGGATCCCTGAAACATTTATTCCGGTCCTGGATCACAGATACACACAATCACTTACCAATTCAACTCTCTCTGACACCCATATCTCTATACCAACCTAATTGAAGAATACTTTGGTACCGTCCTAAAAAAATATTTTAGGACCCCTCTTCAAATAAAAAGCATCTTGTAATTCTAGGCATACAAGAAGGCGAAGGGCTACCCTATCTCCACCTACGTTGAGACGGTGAACGATGGTGCTGAGTCTGCCGTGTTCAAGCAGCTGTTCCAGAGGTGGACCGTGAAGGGTCAGACTGTGGGGATGGGGGCCACAAACAGCCCAGGCAAAATTGGTGAGCATGTCACACACTGAAAATATACACTCAATGCACACATCTCCAATCAGATGTATTTAGGATTTTTTTTCATTCTTTGGGGAGTATTGACTGAAATATGCTGTGGGAAATGCACAGTATGCTTCAATGTACATTATGAATCCAACACCTATTTCTCAACTTGACTAATGAAACTAAGCATCCAGTATTCACGGGTAAAAAACAAACAAAAAACACTGAATGAGCCAACATTGGTATCTCTAAATGTTTTTTCTTGACAATGCAGCCAAGATTGAGCAGATCAAGTTTGATGCTACTTCCATGCATGCAAGGCCTGACCTGGCTGCCCAGCAGAAAATGGTGGATGACGGAACAGGCGAAGCAGAGGTTGGTAACAACCTGTAATAACTAGCTTTGACAAAATAATTATTCATAATCCTCCCCTTTAAACTGGATATCCAATACAAATTAACATGTCCTATTCTCCTCCAATCAGGTGTGGAGGTTAGAGGACAGTGAGCTGGTGCCTGTGGACAGGAAGTGGTTGGGCCACTTCTATGGAGGCGACTGCTATCTCATCCTCTACAAATATGAAGTCAGCAACAGGAGTCACTACATGCTATACATATGGCAGGTCAGAACACCCTACTATCCAACATTCCATCTCCGGCATTATCGACATAGCTCTCTGTCTGCCCGGCAATCAGGCTTTGAAAATACCAGAAAATGTTAATATGAGTAGAGCTTAATTCCATGACTTAGTGTCTGGCTTGCTTGCTTTCCATGCAACCTTATGCAGAAAGGTACAGGAACTATAGTGTGTTTGATGTGTACAATGTAGGGTCGCCATGCGAGCACAGGAGAGCTGGCTGCCTCTGCTTTCCAAGCCGTGAACATCGACCGGCAGTACAACGGGGAGCCAGTTCAGGTCCGAGTGCCCATGGGGAAAGAACCACTCCACCTCATGGCCATATTCAAGGGCAAGATAGTGGTCTATGAGGTAGGCGCTTCATAGTATTCCTTTGTCAACGGGATTTCAAGTAATTCATCTTACAAGAGGCGACTGAAATATGAGACCACATAGATCCTATTCAATTACGAGACAAACTTCAAAAGTCCAAATTATGTTTCACATCATCTGGGTCCATCTCGGTGATTGGAATCTCACCATGAATGTTATCCTATCTCATCATCAAGATTGTAATCATGGTTTGCAGGAGGGGAGCTCCAGAGCCAACTCCACACATGCCCAGCCGACAGTTCGTCTCTTCCACATCCACGGCACCAACGAGTTCAACACCCGCGCCATCGAAGTGCCAGCACGCTCCTCGTCCCTCAACTCCAACGATGTCTTTGTGTTCAGCACTGACACTTGCTGCTATCTGTGGTACGGAAAGGTAAGCACCATTTCAGAGAAACGCCATAAACTAGTAATCCAGGTTTGACAATATGACAGTTCTCAAGTTAAGGACTGATGAGGAGAGTACAAGGGCTGTACCTAGTTATGTGACAGGTATGACTCTTATCCCCTGCAGGGCTGCAGTGGTGATGAGCGAGAGATGGGAAAATCCCTGGCAGACATTATCTCCAGGAGGGAAAAACATGTCATCGCAGAGGGCCAGGAGCCGGCTCACTTCTGGGTCAATCTGGGAGGCAAGTCCCAGTATGCCAACAGTAAGAGGTACCACACTTGATCCCTTGGTTTTATAGTTCCCTAAGGGCCCTATTCAACTGAACTCGGTTAGCGGGTTTAAATGTAATTGATTCATAAACTCATTGAACAAGACAGCAAAACACTGTCTAGTACAATGTAACTGGAAATGACATCCCATTCTGATGCCTTCTTCCTGGATCATCTGTGGTCTCTAACCAAGGCTTCAGGAAGAGCACAACAACATCACCCCACGTCTCTTCGAGTGCTCCAATCAGACAGGCCGCTTCCTGGCTATGGAGATCACCAACTTTAACCAGGACGACCTGGACGAAGATGACATCATGCTGCTGGACATCTGGGACATGGTGAATACCTATCTTTTTACCCTGGAATCCAAACTGATGTGCCGTGTTTCCCCATTGTTTCAGTTTGGGTTTCAGGCTACTACTGTACTGTCCTTTGATTGCTGCTATCAATTAGTGCTGAGCGATTAGTGCTTTTTGAGGTCGGTTTCGGTTCAATTATTAAGAAATAATCACAGTTTTTAATTTCGGTTTTCGATTATTTGGGTTGAACGCTGTTACAACACAGAACAAAAAACAATTAATAAAAGTCCCATGATGGTAGTGACTGTTCATTACTGCTTATTCCCTTATTAACCATAATTTATTCACATTACTTCACTTTAATCAAAATGTTCAGTTGTTGTGTATATGTTTTATTTGATGACTTTATTATTTAAATCCAAGTCATCATCTCATCTCTATAGAGCTGCTGCCTATGCTGTCTGACAAAATCACTATTTTAGTAGTTCTTCTAAGTAAATAAGGCATACTTTTATGACTGCTGAATACCAGTTATCCATCACTTTGATCATGTATTTTCAGGTAGAGAAGCCTCGCGAAGCAACAGATGCTCTCTATATCCCCTCACGATTGCTCATTCTTGTCCCTTCCTTATCGGGTGTAAAAGAAACGCAGACCGGACAAGTAGATGCTCTATGGATTATGGTCATTGTAGTTAATTACCACGTTTTGTGCCCTAAACTATGTAGAATATTGGCCTGTTGGAAACGACAACTCCCTACTATAATCACACAGTTGAGGCTGGATCTGATTTATCTCTAGAGAAACTGTGCAATGTGCGCATTGAGCTCACAGAAAAAAACTGAACGAAATGGAATTCAAATAATTGAACCTTTGTCAGTTAATTAGTTGTTTAAAAATCGAAAAATAACAGACATTTCGGTTAATCGCTCAGCACTACTATCAATCTACGATCTGGAGGTTTGGTTCTTTTAAAACACAAGAGGTCCTCTTCCTCCTCAGGTGTTCCTTGGATGGGCAAGGGAGCTAATCAAATAGAGAAGGAGAATGTGGTCCCCACCGCACATGAGTACCTGAGGACCCACCCAGGGGGTCGAAATCTGGACACCCCCATTGTGCTGGTCAAACAGGGATTTGAGCCTCCCACCTTCACAGGCTGGTTCCACACCTGGGACCCACACATGTGGAGTGTATGTAGCATGCATTTTAGTCAGGATAATTATGAGGTGATAATACACATTGTAAGAGGGTCATATACGTATGACAAGCCTAACAATGCATTGTAACTGCATAATAACGCATTACACCGCTTGGCTTCAGGTAGTATTACCAAAGTCTCTTTACTCAGGGCACAAAATATTGAATTAAACAAGCTGCTTTGCTTTGTATATCCACAGGGAGGGAAATCCTACCAGGAGTTGAAGGCTGAGCTTGGGGATGCCACTGATATCATCCAGATCACCGTGGTGAGTTTCTACTCTCTCTCAAGCCCACTCACGTCATCTGATTTTACGAAACAGTTCTCATGTAAACATTCTTTACAAATGCACAAAGGAAATATACAGTATGTACATGTAAGTGTTAATGTTCATATGTATTAGAAAAAATGTCCACCAATAAAGTTCCCGAAGGTCTAGCTACCATTTGACCAGGTGTTCTAACCTAGCCCAGTCATTAAGGAACAATTATTGCATCGTCATAGAAACCACAGTCAAATATTATTTTCTGCTCTGGTTAAATTAATGGTCTCTTGTCTGTTTGTGGCTACAGGACAGAACCACATCCAACTCCACTCAAAATAATTCCAAGAACATTGGAGAACCACTGTTGTCCCCCACCGTTGGGGTCACCATCCCTGCAGACAAGCTGTTAAACCGCCAGACAGATGACCTGCCCGATGGGGTTGACCCTACCAAGAAGGAGGTAAACTAACACTGGATCTCCATGATTGGTCTCTCACCAGTCTGTACTTCAGTGTAGCTGTCAGCTAAATTCATGATTATTGTAGTCAGTCACTCATCTATTTTTACATGTACTATAACTATACCATACCTCTATCTTTTCCAGGAGTATCTGTCCAATGATGACTTTGCTCTGATCCTGGGTGTGTCCCGGGTAGAGTTCTACTCCATGCCCTCCTGGAAGCAGCAGAATCTGAAGAAAGAGAAGGGTCTGTTCTAGGAGAAGAATATCTACACCTCAGGTCTCATTTTGACAGTGTAAAATAGCATGTTGTCAAATCACACTTTAGTGTTTATTTCATAGGGAGTTTAGAATGCAAGAATGACACATCTTAATTCTGCATCTTGAATTTGCACCGTTATTCGTGCATCCTTAAATGTAAAAAAATATTGCTCCTGCGTGGACAAAAGTATAGGGAGAATTTCAGACATGGTTGACACTAGCACTGCTTTTTTGTGCTGTCAAAATTAGGCCCCTCATGTTTTGTCATCTTTCACTTCTACTCTTCTGCCAATATGAGAATGTGTGAATGAGTGGTTAGTTATTTTTTTCGCTTCTGAAATGTTGCTGTTGGAATTTAAACAATCAAGTTATGAAGAGGAAATGTGTAGGTGATAGGAATTATTTTATTCGTTTTGTTATCTGAGATTTATCATAGGCACTATAAGCAGCACAATTTCCCCTGAATTGCTACTTGTGTCACCGAATTCTACCTGGATATGTAATGTAGATGTCAAGCATTTAAGATTAAGCAGGAGAAGATATTGGTTCTATACCTTATTTTCACAATGAGCCTTAACATTGAAAATGTATCTTAAAATGTATCTTTGTTACTTCATGTGCTTCATAATATAAATGTTGAGATCTAATGTATCAATGAAATTCAAGATAGTCAAATAGAGATAACTACTGTGGTATTTAGTTTTTGCTATGTTGGATAAACACAGATTAATAGGTCTTTATATGAAGACCCTTCAGTTGCCATGCTGAATGGCAGTCAATAAAGATAATACTCCCCACTTTGTGTAAGTTCAATACCTTCAGCAAATCATAATAACTAAAATTGGATGTGAAATGAAATAGCAAAGTGTAGTAAAATAACGTTATTAACCGGTTCCCATGCTTTTAAAATAAAATAACCGTTCTGTTCCGGAACAGTATACATCACTTTTGTTTCCAGTTCGGATTCTGTTCCTCTAATAATTTCTCTGTTCTGTTCCCTGAACCGGTTCCAACCCCTGCCTTTACTCGCATAAAAACTGTGGATAGAAACATGATTAGTTGACATACACTCTGAATGACCTGAATGATAAATCCCATATTGGTCTTTCACAGTCAGGCCAACTGTGCAAGTAGGCTAATAGTAGGCCTACAATTGAAACAGATAAATGAGGCTGTCAACTGAGTCAGAAATTCACAGGTTTCTGATTTTATTTATTTTTTGCTCTCAAAGTCAGACTTTCTTAATAGAAAAACAACAAAATTGGATGTTCTAAATCCATAACAATGCTTAAACCACATCAGGAGACCACTTTTGAGGTCTGGGAAAAATCCAAGAAATGTGGATTGCTTTGTGTAGTTACCCTTTAATTCAAGTGCACAGGCACCTAGAACTGTTGAACTGGTTAGCTGTGTTTCTGTAGCACATAAGATGGAGTTTGTAAAACAAATGGCCACTGGATTGATGCAAATAATCATAATATAATTATGCCAGGCAGGCATAGGCCACTTTATAGCTAGTTATCATTTAATTGAGAAGGCTACCAGAAAACGGTTATGCCTTTTTCTATTTTTTTTTATATATTAAAACATACAATCTACTTGCAGTGAAGCCACTCAACATCTACATCACATTAGTCATCTAACAGACTCCCATCCAGAGCGACCCACAGAAGCAACCAGGGTCAACGCCCTGCTCAAGGGCACGTTGGTTGACAGACGTCCCCCAATGCACCAATAACCAACAAAATTAACAAAAGAGTAAAAAGCCAAAGACAAAGGAAAACCGAAAACAATGCAAAGAACTAAAGACATCAAGGACAACAAAAATCATAACAGCAAGGCCAACTGAATATGTTTGGGTGCATGTATGGCACTATTTACGTGTGTATGTGTCTTTGTGTCCGTGTATGTGCACATGTATGCATTTAAAAGAGAGTGTGTGTATATGCATGTGTACAAACACATGCGCGGCATCAGCCTCAGGCAAACAGGCATTAGCTGTAACAACACTGCCCCTCAGTGTCATTCAAACTGACTTTTAGTTTAGTTTTATTTTGACTTTATTTTTTATTTTTTTACTTTTATCTTTGACCGTCATTCTACCCCCCGCACAGCAACTCCCCTCCCACTTCTCTCCAATTCCACATCCCAACCCTCAGCTTCCCTCACCCCATCACACCTATCTCTGCTGGCCACCCTCTTAGGATTTCTACACACCATATATATTTAAACTATGCTGTGATGTTTAACATACAATTTGAATCTATCTAATCGAATAGAATCCACAGATTGTGAGTTGAAGATAAATACTTTTACTAAGAGTATTAGCATATTAGTAATTGACTGACCAGGTCTCTCCAGATCTCCCAACAATACTATTTATAAGGTCAATTTTAGATAATTATTAATCATTTTCAGACATTCCTGAACCCGAGACCAGAAACAGGCTACCTGAGGGCAATACCAAAACAAATGGTCTATTGATTCTGTATCCTCACAACAAAATCTGCAGAGCTGTGATGATTGTATGCCCCAAATATTCAACATTTAGTTGGTGGCAAGAATTCTGTACCCGTAAAACAAGTCTTGAATCTTGTGTCGTTTTATATATCAACTCACCATGGAATCGGTACATCAAAAATCTCTTCCCAACTATTTTGCAATCTGTATGGCACAGCTGTCAACATCCTGGTCCTCAAATGAAACTGGTATACTTTCCTATTTATGCTGTTTTTATTCCTCCGCCAGTTTTGATCCTTTATATTGGGCAGACAGACCTCCTCCCGCTGCCACCTGTCTCCTCCATTTTTGGGGTAATGCTGTAATCAATTGGTTGTAATCTTGGATTGAGCAGATGTTCCCATACAATTCTGATAACTCCATGAAAGACATAACTCTACAATTTACAATATCATTTAAAAACAAAACACAATTTTCAAACATCTTTTCCATATATACAGTTATATTATCAACCATCACATTTGAGTTCAGCCATAATATTTGTTGTAATATTTGTTCTATCTTTTCGGGGGGATGAAATTTAAATTGTAACCAGCTCTGCAATGCTTGTTTGAAAAAGAGAGATACTTTGAAAAAATGCTTAATTTTCAATTAATCGAAAATGAGACATCGCAATCTGTACAAAGGCAAAAAGTCCATTTTAAAACAATGGATGAGCTTTTCTTAGAAATCTACTGGAGAACCATTTACGGTTCAAGTAAAACTTTTGGATAACTGAAGCTTTTAGAGAGCGGTTTAGTGCTTTATAGTTCAAAATCTCAACCTACCCAGTTCATATTCATTATATAGATAGACACGCTTTATCTTGTCTGGTTTAGCATCCCAGATAAAGCTAAATATTTTTTGCTCATATGATTTCAAAAACAAATCATCAGGAGTAGGCAGCGCCATAAGTAAGTGAGTAAACTGAGATATGATTAAGGAGTTAATCAGGGCAATTTTTCCATAAATAGACAGGTATTTACCTCTCCATAGTTGCAGGATCTTGTCTATTTTTACAAGTTTTCTATTGAAATTCATTGTGGAGAGCTCATTTATATATTTTGTGATATGAATACCAAGTATGTCTACTTCACCATTAGTCCATTTTATAGGTAAACTGCAGGGTAATGTAAAAGTTGTATTTTTGAAAGATCCAATACGTAATATTGTACACTTATCATAATTGGGTTTTAGACCAGAGAGTCCAGAAAAGTTATCTAGATCGTCAATGAGACATTGCAGGGATCTAGCTTGCGGACTTAATATCAAACTTGAGTCATCGGCATACATGGACACCTTTGTTTTTAAGCCTTGGATTTCTAATCCCCTAATGTTGTTATTTGATCTGATTTTAATAGCTTTTTTATAGCATTTCGATGGCCATAACAAATAGATATAGTGACAGCGGACACCCTTGTTTAACTCCTCTTAACCATTCAAAACTCTCTGAGAAGTAGCCACTATTTACTATTTTACACCTGTGGTTGCTATACATTGCTTATACACATTTTATAAGAGAATCACAGAAACAAAAAAAATCCAGGCATAAATAAATAAATCCCAGTTTTACTTTATCAAAGGCCTTTTCAAAATCCGCTATTAATACCAGGCCTGGCTTCTTAGATGTTTCGTGTTGTTCTATTATTTCTAGTAGTTGTCTCCAATGTATCTCCAAAACCTTTTTAATTCTGAGTGCCATGCATTTTGCTAGTATTTTTGCATCACAACATTGAAGTGTAAGAGGCCTCCAGTTTTTTTGTTGTTGATATTTGCCATCTGGGTCTTGTTTTAATAATAGTAAAATCAGACCTTCCTGCTGAGTACCTGACAGACTACCATTTCTATAGGAGTAGTTAAATTGTTGTGGTCCTCTGTAGCTCAGCGTGTAGAGCACGGCGCTTGTAACGCCAAGGTAGTGGGTTAGATCCCCGGGACCACCCATACACAAAAATGTATGCACGCATGACTGTAAGTCACTTTGGATAAAAGCGTCTGCTAAATGGCATATTATTATTATTATTATTAAAACGGTTAGGTTTACCAGAAGATGGATAGGCCTATCATTAGCATCGCTATATTTCTCCTGTTCCTTAATTGTTCGAAACCTGGACGTATTACTTCATATTGTGAGACATATCTTACCTTGCTTCAAAGTAGCCTATAGCCAAAATCCCACCATAGAAACGTGTAGGCAATTATTTTATAAAGACTTCATATGAGTTCTCCTGTTCTATTGGTTTTCTTTCAACTGTCTTTCATTGTCTAGCAGCCAAAGGCATTATCCTAGTCATATTAGCAAGTTGTTGCATCTTTAGATCTCCCCTCTTTCTAAATTTCTAACAGATATTTCCATCTCTGTCCATGAAACCGCTCACATGTACAGTGCGCATTTTATAACAGTGTTTTCCAGCAAATTCCATTTTGGAACATTCACGCATAGGCCTAACACTGTGTGCACAATTAAAGAAAAAATAAGCTAAACATTCTGATCTGTT